TTGTAGACACTCACGTATGTTCTGTTTTGTCACTACAGTGTAGACACTCACGTATGTTCTGTTTTGTCACTACAGTGTAGACACTCACGTATGTTCTGTTTTGTCACTACAGTGTAGAACTCACGTATGTTTGTTTTGTCACTACAGTGTAGACACTCACGTATGTTCTGTTTTGTCACTACAGTGTAGACACTCACGTATGTTTGTTTTGTCACTACAGTGTAGACACTCACGTATGTTCTGTTTTGTCACTACAGTGTAGACACTCACGTATGTTCTGTTTTGTCACTACAGTGTAGACACTATATTCATGTTCTGTTTTGTCACTACAGTGTATGTTTCACTGGTGTCATTTCCATATCATTTTGTCACCATTCAGTGCTCACATTCTGTTTTCACTATGTCATTTCTGTTTTGTCACTACAGTGTAACACTCACGTATGTTCTGTTTTGTCACTACAGTGTAGACACTTCATGTTCTGTTTTGTCACTACAGTGAACACTCACGTATGTTCTGTTTTACTACAGTGTAGACACTCACGTATGTTTTGTTTGTCACTACAGTGTAGACACTCACGTATGTTCTGTTTGTCACTACAGTGTAGACACTCACGTATGTTCTGTTTTGTCACTACAGTGTAGACACTCACGTATGTTCTGTTTTGTCACTACAGTGTAGACACTCACGTATGTTCTGTTTTGTCACTACAGTGTAGACACTCACGTATGTTCTGTTTTGTCACTGGTGTAGACACTCACGTATGTTCTGTTTTGTCACTACAGTGTAGACACTCACGTATGTTCTGTCACTACAGTGTGAGACACTCACGTATGTTCTGTTTTGTCACTACAGTGTAGACACTCACGTATGTTCTGTTTTGTCACTACAGTGTAGACACTCACGTATGTTCTGTTTTGTCACTACAGTGTAGACACTCACGTATGTTCTGTTTTGTCACTACAGTGTAGACACTTACGTATGTTTTGTTTTGTCACTATAGTGTAAACACTCACGTATGTTCTGTTTGTCACTACAGTGTAGACACTCACGTATGTTCTGTTTTGTCATATCAAACTAACAAAAATATAAATGATATCAAATCACTTGTATTTTATGTTCCCACAGGCTCACTACAATTTTATTGTGTCACTGATGTATTTTGAATTTTTCTAAAATGTTCAAAACTACAATTAATGTTTGATTTAACTGAAACTTACTTTTAATGCGACTTTTCTCTAAAACTCTCTTCCTCTCAAACGAGATAAAATCTCTATTGGCAGGATCTATGAGCCAATGTTTGCAGGTAAATCCATAACGACCGTCAAGACTACCAATCAAATTCCTGAAATTAAACATTCAATAAAACATTTAAAAATCATATGATATTCAAAACTGCCATGCAGCTGCCTCGTATGATCGTTTAGCATTTTTTGTGGGTGAAGCAGCAAGTTGATAAGCTGAATGATCAGTTTCCGCAGACAGAAATTCATTTTCAGGAAGAACATAATTAGAAATGTTAACAACAAATAAAATTTTGATCGAAAAATCTCTTACAAACTTAGAAACAATACCCAATTG